AGCAGATATTCAACTTTCATTGTATGCCATAGACCATAGTGTGACCTTATGAAAAAAAAATGGCACCAACCCATTACAAACTTGTTCAGCAATTATACTGTTATTTTTTGTTAAATGGGTTAAAGCGAGGCCTGACTTGAGTGATTAGATTTTTTTTTTTTTTTTTCTTACTTATTAAATGCTTTTTTTTTCTCATATTATCTAAAGTATAGTAATTAAAAATTTTGAAAAGGGTAAAAGTTTAAAATTTAAACCCTTGGTTTTTATGAGAATGATGCTTGACTTATTTTCATTCAAAACCCATTTGAGAGTTGAGACAAATAACTTCACCCGAATTAGACGTGGTTCAAGTATTGATTTCTCTACATATTCATTCCTTAGAAAGGCAATGGGCCTACAGTCCAACGAGCCTGATTTTACGTTTATTTTCAAGAATTTAGGCATTTTAACAAGGCGGATCTACTTTTTCTTTTACATATTTCATACTTTCTATACATTTTATAAAGCGATAGTTGGCTCTTGCACCTCCATTCTTTTTTCCAACCAATCAATTAAAGATATATCATGATCATGTTGACTGTCGGCTTCGCATGGTTACATCCAAATCATGGATATAATCAAGAATTGGAACCAGAATTGAAACGTAAGAGTTTTTGTTTAGGTTTCTTCAGCAATAGATTCAATTTTCGGAGATGATGATTTTCTATTTTCCTATTATTATCAAGCAATCAAGAAAAGGAAGTTTGGAACCAGAACCTCAATTACACTTACTGGCAGCAAAATGTAAGCACCCTGTACAAAAAGAAGATTTGGTGCAACCATTTGAATTGTGATGATGATACCATGTGAAATTTGGTCAACTATCCTTTTCTTTTTTGTATTGTTTTGACTTTTGAACCACGGAATCTTGATGTCATATTTGAAACAGAAAAAGAAAATCTACAAATCTTTCAAGAAAAACCATCACCAATGAAATCGAATTGAAACACTAGAAAACTGTTTTTAGCAGAGAAATGTTTCTTGCACTACTCAAATGTACTCATACAAATTCTCCCAGGTGAGAGGAAAAGGAAGAATGTTGAGCTTATAATCTCATTTGAGAAGACTTGGTTATGCAAATATTGCATCTATTGCCTCGTTCAGACTTGAGATAGTCCAGATTGTAAATGTAAATCTAATAAATCTATTATATATTTTTGAGTTTCAATTATAGTGCACTCACTATATATTGGTTGAACATTAACATTAAATCTAGATTTCAATCAATCAATCAATCAATCACGTTAAAGTACGTTTTATTTTTCATTGGTTTAAGTTTCATAAAGTGTACTTTTATATTTGACAAAGTGTATTTACCATCATGTTCAACCAATCATGTCTATTACTATAATGGATTAATGGATGGTGTACCATAGAATTTTCCTATATATTTTTCCATGATTTCTCTTGGAAAATCTTTGATATCTTCATTTGCTCCTCCTTTACCTTCCTACACCTTTTAAAGTTCAAGAAGCATCCAGCAATCAACTATTGACTTAAAATCGGCACCACATAATCATTTCCTCCAATAGAGTTTGATGAAATTATCTATCAAAGAAACACTTTTCTCATATTGTGTAAGAGGCATCTGTTGTTGTTGGGGAAATGTCTTTTCTTTTTCTTGGTGTTCCTCGAAGCTTAGGCATTTTTACACTATTCAGCTTATATTATCAACAAATTTTCTCATTTACCAAGTGAGATATCTTAAAAAAAAAACAAAACGTTTATAAACTAAACAGCCCCAAAGACGTGATTCATTTGATTTCTTTCTCAACTCTCAAATTGTCGATCGAGTTATCATTCTCAAAACACACAAAGCAACCTGGGAACTGTGGTTTCTTAGTGGAGTCGTGATAGTAAGCCCCAATATTTGATATCAAAGGCCAGTTTTCCCAAATCATCATTGTTATATTTAATATAGTGGTACCATTTTCTGTTAATTACGATAGACACATCACATGGTTGAGCTATAGCTTTCAGTTTTCAACTTTCATCCAATCGGAAGCAATCGGCGTGACAATTATTATTTTAAATTTTTATGAGTAAATGATCCAAGCAAACAAATGTTATTAGAAAAATCTCATGGGGACACAGTAGTATGTATGGGTGGTGGTTAATTTGATGGCAAAGAGCAAGGTGGAAGGTGCTACCTTCCTGGGGTGATATCTTCGATCTGCAGCTTTTATGTCATGCTGACTTTTATTAAATTAACTTAATACGCATACGAACAAAAGAGATAATATTGTGAAAAGTTAAATAATAATTATTTATAATCCAAAGGTAGTTCTAAGGGGATTAATTGTGATTCCCATGGTCTTTTAGTCTTGAATGAATTTAAAATTAAGGAGGAATCACTTAGAATATTCAAGAAATTAAAAAGGAAAGAAACCCTTTTGTTTGTGCAATTGTGACCCCACCATTACATGATCACATCATACTGTGGACCCCATATGTTGTGGAAGGTTAATTGTGTTTCCGTGAAAAGTTGGTCCAGATTCCATGATCACCATCGAACTGGGAATCACACGGCAGCATAAAGACAGCTTTTGAGGATTCCCTTGTGTTTATTTGGGACGAAATGCAAAATTTGGATGATCATCAGCATCAGCTGCTCACTGTGTATGGCCCAACAACATCATTGTATGTGATGTGGGGATGGCCAGCTCAGTTTTCTTTTAGTGCTCTCTTTTAACGTTATGTAATCAATCGTCTACTACCACCATTGCAAGTGCTAAATGCAAACAGAATAGAGTCATGATGAGAATCAAATGATGGTCGAGTATGTGTCTGTACTGTGTGGGCTCCCTCACGAGTCACTGCAAGATGGCCCTACGAAACCCATGTTCCACCTCATCTTGGATTGGTGTATTTGTATTGAGAGCATTCTTCAATATTCTCTTGATTTGGCAATAGCAGCAGCAATTCATCAATTGGGTAGGACTTAGGACAATTCAGCCAAAGAGACATGAAACTCTGGACCCGTAGAATAATAACGTAAATGGATGTATACATCCTACCGACGTCCTATGGACTATGGTTAATTAATTCAAAGTGCATGGTATTACACGCAAGTTCATTTAATTGGATTGGATTAAGTTGACATATGGGTTCAATGAACCTAAGCCTTTTTTCTTCTTTCTCTGCGATAGGTTGAGAATATACAGCAGAGGTGAAATATATAGGCAATATAAAAATATTATATGCACGCAGGAGAAGAAGAGAGAGTAGTGAATAGTGATGGACTAAAAGACAAATCTAAGTCTCGTGGCCTCGCTGTCATCATGAAGCATTCACTTTTATTAATGAACAGAATGCCCACTCTCTCTACTATACAGTCAAATGGAGAGGCAGGGAGATGTGGACTTGAAGGAACACAATCAAACAACAAAATTATAAAAGAAAAGGTGGAAGAGGAGACCTTACACGACATAAACCTCCACACACACAGAGACGACAGACAAAAAACGTCCTCACTGGAATGAAGACATTTCATCTTTCTGTAGTGTGATGGGATATAAAGAGTACAGTTTATTGGGATCATATGAGCAACCTTATCTTCATCAATACTCTCAAAATTTGCAATCAAGAATTTTTATTATGTATGTAATTAACTCAAATCCAAATTCATCGGACATGAACACATGCTTGCCAACCAATCCATCGAGCACACTTATTGTGGGTGCAAATTACAAGGGAAATTTTAGATTAGCACTTTGTACTTTGTTCAAAAGTTATTTTGGTCTCCAAACTTTAAAACGTGTTTAGTATCTAAATTTTGCAAAATATGTAAAATTGTTGGGAGAACAAGTCGGGTTCAAGACTAGAGAAGGAGACACGGCTTTGGTGATACCAGCAAGGGGTGGAGCGAAACTATACAAGGCTTGATCCAAAACCAGAAGCCTCTCTCATCTTCTTCAACCTCTTCATCGTCCTCGTCTTCGGATTAGCTGAAGGGAATACATTACTAACGGTTGTTAAGGCAGATACTAAATTATCACATTTTGAAAGTTCAAATATCACATTGGCATATTTTAAAGTCGAAACTTGGCCCAAAAGTACAGGGTTCTGGAATTTCCCCTTAAAATAAAAGAACAGATTTCCCAAAATGGCCATCCTTTGCTTCATCACAAGCCTAATTGTCAAAGGGTATTTTCGTGGTTTAACAGAGAACCAATTTTCTTTCAAAGTTAGCATGTGGGACCGTGAGAACCGAAATGATATTGCATGCTTACTTAATTTATATATATTTAATTTAACAAGTAGTGTAGCAGATGCCAGATCGATGCATGGTATTATACTCGGACTCGGCCTATTAAGCCTATATATATATATATTAAGTAGGCAAAGGCTGCAAGGATGAGTAGTGAACAGAGTTGAGTTAAAAGGTCCTGAGCTAGCTGAAAGGGAGAAGCTCCAGTGGTGAGAGTAGTGATCATTATGGCGAAGATCGCGTTGGGCACCGCCCGAGAGGCCACAGACACCGACTGCCTCAAGGCCCTCGTCGCCGAGTTTATCTGCACCTTCCTCTTCGTCTTCGCCGGAGTGGGAGCTGCTATGACCTCTGGTATATCTGCATGGTCTGCTCTAACATGTGTTTTCGGCCGCAGTATATATATGCCTCTTTGGAAGTTGGAAGTTGGAACCCCATTAATTCATGTAATACTAAACTTTCCTGTTTTCCTGAACAGATAAGATGCTTGGGGGTTCTCTGGTGGGCCTATTTGCCGTGGCTGTGGCACATGCATTGGTCGTGGCTGTGATGATCTCCGCCGGTCTACGCACTTCCGGTGGTCACCTTAACCCTGCCGTGACGATCGGTCTTGCAGCAGGGGGCCATATAACTATCTTCCGGTCTATTCTGTACTGGATTGATCAATTGTTGGCGTCTTCACTGGCTTGTATTCTCCTCAAGTATCTCACTGGAGGGTTGGTGAGTAACTCCCACTATAGTGCTATATTATTAATACAATGCTTCACTGGCATATAATTTGCTTCAAACTTCAAAGCCTGGGGACTCAGATCCATATATTGGACCCGACCGGTTGACCAGGAAAATGACCCGGCCGAAGGTTGGGTTGGATGGAGACTCATATCCATTTTAAGATTGTCGAACAGGAACAGAAGCTATTTCCAGCTAGCATCTCTTACAATTTGCTCGATCGTCCTGCACTCCTGCTCTGGTAGAAACTAGTTCATGCCTTCATGGACATGGCAGGCTAGCTAGCCTTTTACCTTTAACCCTTCTGTTGTCAGGTTGACCTGACGATCAAACCCATCCTGGTCTGTTTTCTTTTCCTAATCCGAGATGTCATGTCAATTGTCATCCCTAATCTTGACTAGGCTTATCACTTATGGGTTTCATTGGTGCAGGAGACTCCGGCGCACACACTCGGAAGTGGGGTGAGCCCCTTACAAGGACTCGTAATGGAGATTATTCTTACCTTTTCGTTGTTGTTCACCGTCTATGCCACTATAGTGGACCCAAAGAAAGGCTCTCTTGATGGATTGGGCCCACTACTTACTGGGCTTGTGGTTGGTGCCAACATCTTGGCTGGTGGGCTCTTCTCTGGGGCTTCGATGAACCCAGCGAGGTCCTTTGGACCTGCCTTGGTAAGCGGAATTTGGACTGATCATTGGGTCTACTGGGTGGGCCCCCTTTTGGGTGGAGCCCTGGCCGGCTTCCTCTACGAGAATTTCTTCATAGTCAGATCTCATGTTCCTCTCCCTAGCGAAGATGAAAATTTCTAAGCACTCTTTCTTTCTTTTTCTCTCTCTCTCTCTTCCATTCTATCTGATCATGTTATTTCTGTATCCCACCCACCTATGTTGGTATAGTGTGTTTTCTTTGATCTGATGTATGCGGTTAAACTTTTGTAAGTTTAGGAAGGTTAGTTGTCTGGTTTTATTGGTTTTCCTTGTTGGTTCCATTCTTGATCATGTAAGTGAGCTGCATGGGAAGGAAGAGAACCGGTCAGCTCCGATTAATAAGTTTGTTTAGAACAGTCAGCCAAACTTTAAGACGAAGGCTAATTCGGTCCACAAATCTTAAGACATGTTGGCAGAAATAGTTTTTGTACAAACGTGTGGAAGTTGTACTGTTGAGAAATGCACAAGCCATCTGTTGTTTGTAGATCTGGTTCGTTGCACAAAGTTGTTTAAGGTCACTATTAAAAGAGCTACAAGGCCAATGTTAAGATATGTCATTTTCAGATACCATCTTAGGGTTCAGGGATAAATGGCAAAGCACATGGTTGGGCACTGGTGGGATCACTCCACGTTGAGGCATCGTGCCGTGATGCAGCTCAGGTGTCTTAACCAGAGGCAAGGAGAATGAGGATCATATATAGACCTTAACCTAGCTAGTGACTTCAAGTCTTAATCACCAAGACTGTGTTGAAAAAGATAGGGAAACTCATACCGGAATTAATTGTGGTCATCAAAAGTGTGGTGAATTTTAGGATATTAAATCAATGTTTATTATTCTTAAAATATATTAAATCAATGCTTATTGAGTGTTTCAAGACAATATTTTAAAAACTGATCCGGAATCGGAATTGCTTTGGCCACCAGTATTTGGTCAGCGATTCGACCATCCGATTTGAATGGATGGCTTCTTCCAAATAAAAAAATAAAAAAAGGTCAAAAACGTTGTTCGGGTCAATGGTTTGAATGCCTAAGTCAACAAGTTGCTAACTAAATTAACGGTTTTTAGCTAAAGAACAGGTTAGAAGTGAAATGGAACTGATTGCCTAAATGGTTTTCAAGCCAAAAAGTCTGATTGTCGAAATCAACAACAGTTCAAAAACACTAGCCTTAAGTTTTGGTGTGTTTTGAAACAAGACTTTGATATATTTCAAAATCTACAATATTTTATATCCTAAAACCAACCTCATCAGCCCATTTTAGTACACACCATAAGCTTAAACAAATCATTTTTATGTGATGTATTTTGGAACTAAGAAGAATGACGTGCATTTAACCAAACACCTTTTTTTTCTTTCTTTCTTTTTTTTTTTTTGAAAACTATATATCATTAAGCAAACAAAAGAATTATAGGGATAAGTGGACTGCAATCCACATCAATCCCCCAATATTGATTATAACCAACTAGGGGCAGCCAGTCCAGCGCTCGGTCCCTCGGTCCTACCAAAAAAACATCCCCATCAAAAGTTTTAGCCCATTGAGAAATAGAAATGGGCAATCACAGTAAAAAGTCTGCTTTATTAAGGGTGCAAATGGATCGGATTGATCCGGTCCTATTTAGTCGAATTCGGATCACTTCTATTTGGATTTTTGGATCGGATCAGATAAGGATTACTCTTTATTCGATTTGAGAAGATTCAATCCGATATATATTATATATTTATAATTATATTTTTATAAATTTGTTATATTACTTATTTTTTATAAAAATTATGTATATATATGACGAAAATAATTAAAAAATACTTGTTATTTTTGTTTTTACTTTATTTAAATTAGTATATTTTATTTTTTACTTTAGTAACTTTTTAATTTTTAAAGAAAACAAGTCAGATTGGATCATATCCGAAGATCCGACTTACCAATAGGATTCAAATTTAAATCAAGTCCTATCACATCCAATCAGATCTTCGGATTAGATCAGATCCGACATGAACAATGTCAGATCATATTCAAATATATCCCTGATTCGAATCCAATCCGATCCATTTGCATCCCTAGCTTTTACATACAAAGAGAATAGAAGATAAGTTTTTAACTAAGTCCAAAATATAATGAAGTCTAGATGCACTGATAGGTTGATCCATTGTAGGCGCTAATAGCATAAGGAATAACTTGTATTTTAAGGGAAGAGATGGAATCAAGAATGAAATAAGTATTGTAATTTTTTTATTTTTTCAAATCACTGTAAATTGTTTAATTTTATTTAATTTATTTGATATATTTTTTTTTAATTTTTTAACAATGTAATTTTGTATTTTCAATTTGTAACCATATTTCATCCAAAATATTTATATTTTACTACTAATAACTTGTATATTAAGGGAAGAGATGGAATCAAGAATGAAATAAGTATTCTTTATCAATGCCATTAATTAATGATGAGTATTAGTTTTGCCTTTAAAATATATATTTCAAAATTGACAAAAATACCCTCATTTGCAAACACCATATAAATCCTTTAACATCTCAATTTTATATTATTATTATTATTATTATTATTATTACATCATCATCATCATCATCATCATCATCATCATCATCATGATTATTATTATTATTATTATTATTATTATTATTATTATTATTATTATTATTATTATTATTATTATTATTATTATTATNTTATTATTATTATTATTATTATTATTATTATTATTATTATTATTATTATTATTATTATTATTATTATTATTATTATTATTATTATTATTATTTGATGGTGCACGATCTGGTCACTATTAGCTGGATGGCAGCTTGGACGTCAGTTTGTTTAAGTGGCTGGTTGAACTACAAGAGAACATGACTAGAGGACTCGGGGTGGCTTACCCGATGTGGGCACTCCGATGCTTAAGTTAGCAAAGAGTGTAGGGCGAGAAAAGAGTTTTATAAGCAAGAGAGCTATTATCGTGCGTACCTTGTAAAGTTGGAGGTGAGGCCCTTATAAAGGTGAGCTGTCGTAGGCGTTATGAAACACATCCGAGATCCCCGGAGTTCGTTTCGCACCCAGAGATGGACTTCGTGCGAACTGATAAGTCTTATCGAGTCCATCCGATCCGAGCGGGATAAGGATGGGCTTGCGGACGAGTAGTGTGATCCCGGAAAGGTCGGAGACAATTAGTTAGCTTCTAGAAGTAGGCTACATGGCACCTTGGCAGGTTGGGTCACCACAGGCTGCTCGGACCTCAGTCTTGGCTGAGGTGCCCAAGATACCCGAGTTGACCTGGCCTATTAAGGTGGCCAAGAATGCTGAGTTGTCATCTAATCATCAGGTCATTCCACATGTCCGCATGCTAACAAGTCTAGCCAAATTACCCCTCATCACCATCATCATCATCATCATCATCATCATCATCATCATTATTATTATTATTATTATTATTATTATTATTATTATTATTATTATTATTATTATTATTTACTTCATGAGACTACACAATGGGGGAAATTGGTCCCCCACTAACACTAGTGATAGTGTGATTTAATCACAAGTCTCTGCTACAATTAGGGGTGCAACTTGGGCAGGCCTAACTCAAGCTCGAGTATGGCCTAAACTTGAGTTAGGCTTGGGTTGAGATCTCAAGTAACTGGAGCCCTACCTTAGTCTAGTCCAACCCAACCGGGCTAAAACTAAATCCAACCTGAGCCCGCCTGATCGAATACATATATACATGCATTATATTTAGATAAAACCATCTTTTTTTTTTCTTTATAATTATATATACATATAAAACATGTATGTGTACATTTGTTAATAAAATTTGTACATATTTCAATTATTTCTACTTTTAAATTGAACTATAAAACTCGATAAAAGCTAACCATATAAAAATATATTAATAAATTCTTTCAAACCTGCTCAATCAGACTAAGCCCGTCAAACTTGGGTTGGGCTGGTGACCTTCAACCCGACCCATCCCTCTTGTTGCAGCCCTGGCTACAACCAGTGAGAGACCTTATCAATTGAGCCAGTTTGCACCACTTTAAAAAATTTTGTTTTTTGATGAACCTGTTTTTAACTTTTTATCCTCATAAACGAGAATATTTTAATACGTATGATATACATGAAGGTTAAAAAAATGGGTAAAATAGACTTTTGATAAAGCTTTAATGTGATGTGAACATTTTTAGATACTGAAATTGATAGCGTGTTACTGAGGGGTGGACTAAGAACCTTAACCCCAAGCCAGTGCATCTCATTTAAGTCCACTTGAACTCAATTTCCAAACTCTTAAACTAATTAAGCTGCTCAAACTTTTGGGGTCAAAGAAGAGAACCAACTAACAAGGATCAACCTCAGTTGAGCTTGAATTTGAGTCGGGCAGAGAGCCAGCCTCCATTCCTAAAGCTTAACTCTGTAGGAGCTAGGGGAGGCAACTCTCCTGCAAATACCCGAAATGGGTCCTTCTAGAGCCTTGTAAAGCCTAGGCACAGGCCAAAACATATCTTCAAATTTATGTGCAAGGCCCATCTAAATTATTTATCTTTCTAAGTCCATCCCGCATTAAGATAAGCCCGATCTGTAGTTTTAATTCAGGTTTATAATGAATGTTATATATACGTATATCATGGGACCACGCCTATATGTCACGCCTATAATGAATGTTATATATACGTATATGTCACGCCTATACGTAGAGTGCAGATGACCCGGATCGCTATTTTGTTTGCCTTATTGCTGCACTGTGTCGCTGTTTTAATTTGGCATTGAAGGATATTTATATACATAACGAACATAACAGTAAACTGTAAAAAAGACGAGATCATTTACTCCTCACACCTACCTTACAGCTCGTACAATGGAAACATCTCCCTGTACTATGTTTTCATTAATTCACTGGGTGCAGATGCAAGTGCTGTGAGAATCGCTCTATGACTATATATGTGAGTAGGAGTATGAAGAGGGTTAATCTTGTTAGGATGAAACTTTGCGGGATTCGTCAACTTACGCCCGATGTCAGGACTCAGGAGACAGGGATGAACGACGTCGACGCGTCTTTACTCTTATTATATCTTCCCTCAATTCAAATTCCTCCTTCTCTACAGTGCACAGCTTTTTGGCTCCATGAACGCCTGTGTGTAATTAAGACAGTGAGGGGCTGTGGAACCAATAATCCATGAGAGCCCACGTAAGGCATAGTGACTAATGAAAATAGCAGGACAATTTAGCACTGGCCTGGCGGTACTAATTTTGACATGTAATTGGTTGAAAGCCACGACCAGACAGCAGAGTGAAGCAATTGGAGTACCAGCCACCAGAGTAGTAGTTCTGGACTTGTGGCCTTCTGGGTGGTCCACAACATATAAGTGTGAAAATGAAAGAGCAATGATAACATTGGGAAGAAGCTTAAGCATTCATTGTCTAACCACACCACCGTTAAGAATTTAAGGCCACATTTATTTTTCACAAAGATCAATTCGCACATTAGTATTCCCTTATTATTATGTATAAAATATAAACACTAGCTAGTTATTAACTAACTAACTACGTACACGTACCTACTAAAACTAGGCAAATTAAATTAAAAGTAAAAAGTAAAATGCTTTCAGGATAAACAATTGGCCGGGCTTCTCTTCTTCATTCTCGATCTGGTATAATCACCATTCACCAGCAGTCATTTCTCTGTTAACGTAAATGGTTACCTTGACGCTTCTTTTCGACCCACGATGGCGATAGAACCGGAAACATCTCGTACTCCATGAGTTTTGTCTTATTATGATGATCGGGCTTCTCTGTGTCTTCCAGATTCACCACCTTTGTTTCCTGGGGGAAAACCTTAACCCTCCATACCTTAAACGTACGATCCAAGCTTGCACTGTAGACTAAGAAGCCCATTACAGCCTTCTCCATCGCCAAGGTAGCGGCCAGGCATCTCACCGGCCCGCGATGACCGTCCAACACTGCTAGACACGCATGAAAGCAGCACCCCTCCTCCCTCCTCCACACCCTTATGGTCGTGTCCTCCGACCCACTGAACACCAGCTTGTCTATAGCTACCAACGACAGAACCGCAAAGCGATGGCCGTGTAGGTATCCTCCATGGTTGAATCTACCCGAAACTTTCTCCTTCTCCCACACATTAATGAACCCATCTGAAGACCCCGAGTACAGGAAGCAATCGTTTTCGTTTTGGGAGCAGCTCAAGGCCAGTGCATTGACAGGTGATGGTTGGAATCTTAGTGTCATGGTGAGAGTATGTGCGGTCTCCCCAAACACCCTCCTCCATATTTTGATGGATCCATCGGAGGAGCAAGTGAAGACGCATCCATCTTCTTGGTTGATCACGATTGCGTTGACATTGTCTTCATGTGCCACAAATGAATCGATGCATCTCTTATCTGACACCCTCCAAGCTTTCACTGTTTTGTCCCAAGAACCTGTGTACAGCAGCCCTTCTGCATGGTAGTAGGCAAGGCAAGAGATGCAGTCCTTGTGTTGCTGGGCGTTTGTTCTCGGAAACAACAGAAACGCGCTTCGGCGAGGTAAGGTCGCCACCTTCTTACAACTGAAACTGTCTGAAATCGACACATTCCATACACGGATTTTGTGGTCTCTATGTGCTGAGAAGAGAGTGTTGCCAAAGGCTAAAATTGCACGAACTTCACCGCAACTTGTCTTGACAAACTCGCGCTCGACGTAGTCGGGTTGCCTCCATACACGAATCCGGCTGCTCTCAGAACCTGTGAAGACTAATCCCTTGAGGACTGCGATGGAGAAGATGTTGCCTTCGTGTCGATGGAGTGAGGCGACACAGTGGTAGAGTAGAGAGGGTGAGGGTGTGTGGATAGGAGAGAGTGTCCATGGCGAAACCGGACTGGGCGGTGCAATGTGGACCAAAGACGCGGAGGAAAGCCTTTCGGGACTCAACTGGGGATCATATTGATGACCAGCCGCCGATTGTTGTTGATGATGATGGGGGGCTACAAACGAGAGATGAGTAGGTGATTGGATGGGCTTTTGTTCTTCATCATCATCAAAGAAAGTCCCAAGCGACTTCTTGGCCGCATGGAAATCCATAATCGATACAGCTGGGCTGGGCTGAGCTGAGAGGGAAAAGTAGATGATCGATGATCCAAGTTGAGAGCGGTATAGTGTAGGAGATGAGCCGTAGAAAAAGCTCTCTGGATTATTATTTGTAGCAACGGTTAGTTTGGAACAAGTTAAAACATTAAAAGATACGAAAGGGACATATCCTCCCAAGGTATAAGGCCTATAGGCTTACGCATTGTTCCAATACCGACATCAAAATTTCACTTGGGGTTTTGTTGTGGTGTAGCTTTTCACCATTGAATGAGTGCACGGAATGGGTTCTAAATGTCTAATTTGAACCTATTGTATTGTTTGATGAAATAATGTAAATACATCCATGGTCGGTTTGGGACCTTTAACGTACGTATTAAAAGGTTTCAAGTTTGACATGACATTTCCGTATATTTACTTTGTTTAGGATTCATGAACCCTAAAGTTAGGTTTCCTATATAATTTGTCGTTTTCAAGAGGGGTGTATGAAATGAAGAGCTGCAACTTCTGCCACGCCACCAGGCCCAGGGTTGGGAGCTTATAGTCTTATATACAGGTCTGGAGACTTGGGAACGAGCTGATATCAGATTGGCGCCCAAATCGCACATCTCCCATACGTATTTGTTACGGGGAGATGTTTCCAATACACGGCTGAGATGAGATGAGTTGGGGGCATTCTCTATGGGACGCTGATCCGAATTCGGACGCACGGGCTGTGTCTGTGCAGTTCTACGAGGAAAAATAATAAATAAATAAAAGAAAGAGCTGCAAAGGATTGCAACGAACAAGTCCAAGCCCAACTTGTAATTGATGTTGGGAATTGGGCTGAACAGGTCCAATCGTAAAGGAGTATTTTTTGGGAAAAGTTGGATAATGTGATTTTGATTAAGAAAATACATTCAGATTCATGTGAGTACCAGGGAATAATGGATAAATAATTTTTTCACCTGACAGGAAGTTACCAATAATTGAATGGGATAAAAATACCCATTTTAATAATGGATTTTTATAATTAAAATGATCATTACTTTATTTATATAGAAAATAAAAGAATATGGATAAATACACTTATCCGAATAATTCTTTTATAAAAGACACTTATCCGAATAAGTATCTTACCAAAAAAACAAACAAGGCCTAAAGAGTAGTACAAATAAGCATCCATATGATTCTGTGACTCGTTATGGAATTGAGCAAAGTAATAATATTCTTATTGGGTATGTAGTAGATTAGGAATAGAAAGCCCAAGAGTCCAAAATTGACTCCATATGACTAATGTTGGGAATTGGGTTGATCGCATGATCTACGTACGAATATTTCATCTGAGGATTCAAATTTTAACACGAGTAATCTCAAAATACCATTTTACTATATCAAATAAAAAAAAAATCACGCATTTTAATAAATACTTCAAAATTAACTTGCTGATGGGGTCGTGGTCTCACACAAAATTCTTATGTATAATTTTCCCATACGAGTATATATGGTCATGAGCTAGTAAATCTATCAAGAGGGTGCTCATCAATGTGAACATGATTTGTTTTCTTTTGGTTAATTCCCAAAATGAAGATCTTACAACTGGTTTGAAAAACCTTTGATTCTTAAACAAAAATACAGAAGACATGTTTTGGTTGTATAGTCATATTTTTAAAACTGAAACTAGAAACATGTTCTTGATCAGAAATATATTTTCCTTTAGGTCTAGTTTGGAAAGAGTATAAATATAAATATGTACAGTGCAAATACATACAAAATATAAGGTTTTGCATTCTGCTTATTTGCATTTGTACTCCTTCCAACTAAGCATTAATGGTTTGATATTATGTTCTATAAAGTATATTCACATAAAGATTTTGATTGAATGATTTTTATTTAATTTATCCTTTTTTCTTTTTTATTTTTATTTGTACTTTGAACCCATATGGGTTGGTATGAGGGTATATGGAAGCATTTTTTGTCTTCGTTTCAAAAAATACATTTTCAAAATGTAAATGCTTTCTCTTTGTTTTGAGAAAATACATTTAAAAAAAAATCAGATTTTACTTTTTTGCTGATATAACATATTTTAGGAGCAAGGAAAAACTTTTTTTGGACAAAAAAAAATTCCTAGAATTTTCTTTGGCAATTGAAATTTCATATATTCAAACAGAGAGACACAAAACCCACAACCAACGTACATAAACAAGAACTAAACATCATCCTCACAGCCCATTCATTTGCATTTGCTTGTGGTTTAGAAAAGCGGAAGAATATCCTTTGAGCATGCACACTTTCTTTGCAAAATGAGAGTAGATATCAATCCTTTTGAGTCTTGTATACATTCCCAAATAATTTTCGGATATAACCAAAAGACAAAAAGAAAATGCTGCAGCTTCCCACGATATTTGAAAGCAACAACTCAGTGGATGGGGTCTCCTGTTCTTTTCCACCGGTTGTCTGAAATAAATTATATTAGGTACTACCACAAAAATAAATAAATAGGTACAACCAATAAATAATAGTGGTTCCAGGGCTATTGAGTGTTTCTGCTTCATTTCATCTTCTGCCACATATCGACAAAAAAAAAAAAAAAACAAAGACATAAATCATGCATATTTCATGATCCCCAAGCTCTCCTCAACGTATATTTGAGTCTGAGATCGCCAGCAGACTCTGAAGGGAAGTATTAATAAGAACCATAAGGACGCTTAGATGAAAGTGGGGAAAATTACCAAGCCTATTTGATAATGGTAAAATTTTGTAGCTGGGGCTTAGGATGGAGGACTTGTAATTTGTAAACATTTCTTCAAGGGATTCTGCTTGCTCCAACTAAGAATTAATTGGATAAGAAACATGCATGCTAGTGGTTATATACACCAAGGCCCGTTATTTTTTGGTAAGTTATTTATTCGGGTAAATGTAATTATATGGGTATATTTTTCTTGGAAAACACTTATCCGGGTAAGTGCATTTATTCATATTCTTTTATTTCCCCGGTAAATAAGGTAATGACCATTTTATCCATAAAAATTTATTATTAAAAGTGGCATTTTTGTCCCATCCAAGTGTTGACAACTCCTCCCCTCACAAGTGAAAAATTTGTTTATCAACATAGGAGATGGGCAAGTAATACTAATGAAAATAAATTTTTCCTTGTCCCCACATAAATTTGAAAAGAGAACATGGGATTCTTGGTCAATGGGAACCAAAATTCCCCTCTCAAAATCCAAAAAGAGAACACCTCCCAAATTACATATAAGAAGCTAGGGTTTAGCTATGATACCGGAAAAACATACTGCAAATTGACCAGTATCATAAGAGAGGTGACCAATCAGGTAGAATTCACAGGGGTGCTTTGATTGGTCAAAGCTCTACCAGTAGCATGCCTTTCCGGTATTATAGATTTTTCGAAAAGACTATTCACTGCAAGGAAATGGAAGAAAGGATATTGTAATTCAATTAAACCCCATAACTACCCCGACCAAGGAAATGATTTTATTAAGTCATCTTAATTCCCAGAATGGATTTTGGCATAGGCCATGTTTTAGTTGGGATTCATCGGTTTGTTTTCAAATGAATTACATAGCTAGCCAATAGCCATAGGCTGCAGCTGTGTCTCTCTCCTCTCTTCTATGTTTCAAGCAATGCTTCTAAAACCAACTCTAAAATAAAATTGTTTTCCCATCAAGTGCATGGTAGGTTAGTGGTTCAATTGTTTGGGTCAGACAGATTAATTTTGTGTTATTATAATTGAAGAGTAAAGATATACAACATAGATGCATATAAAAAATATAGAAAAATACAGAAATTTGAGCATATCTTTAATATTAATATATTTATCATATTAAAAAAAGAACAAATGTGATAATAATTATATTAAAAAAAATAAATATGATAATAAGAACTAACGTATAACTCATGATCAGATGGTCAGGTCAAATGATTCAATGGTTCAATTAACCCTTTTTTTTATTACAATGGTTTCACTAGTTAGGTCATTGGTAGCTTGGGTTAGAAACCTGGATACGCAGCTTGCAAGTCGACTCACATACAAGTATCCTATGTATACTCAAACTCTAGGTGTATTTATACAGAGGCAGAACCTCAAATGAATATAACTTCATCCTTTCAATTTATCTGTTCTAACTAATATTAGTTGGGTGGTTATACTGTTTAATGTTATAAGCCCAAACTCTGGCTTGACTCGGCTTTGGCCCTTGCAACACTTTTATATGGGACTGGACCGGATCTAGTAGGCATAATTCAGTAAGCACGTTTAATGAGTATTTGATAAATATTTTGACAAGGGTTCGACTATGATATGAAAAAGATATGATACCTGAAAAACTTTTAACCAGTCCATTGGAATCATAAACGTGATAATCAATCAGGTGTTATTTATCAAAATTCATGGATGGATTTTGATTGATCAAAACTCTTTCCATATTTTATCTTTTCCGTATCATAGATTTTCTCTTTTGACAATTGTCAAAAATGATTTTTAATCTTTTAAAAGTATATATATATATATATATATATATATATATATATATATATAAACTAGAGTTGTATTTTAAGGAACATGTATTAAAAGAATTTTCTAAGTACTCATTGATATTATGCCTACCTGATCCAGACTGCTTTTACACATATAATATTGTACTTTTATATAATATAAAATGTTATCGATATTTAAATTTTCATAATTTATTATGATAGGAAAAAGGCCGTCGTCCGGGCTGAAACTTATTTAGACCTAATGTTTAGGCTGGACTATAACTCTTATATCATATCTCCAAAATGCCTACTTGGTGTTGCTCATCGTGATCACACCTATTCATTAGGTTATTTATTGAGTTAACGATTTTTTGCAGTCCAGTGATTTGGTTGGATGGTGAAATGGCCCTGAAATTTTGGCCACCTGAAATATGACTAAATCTTTACTTATATAATAATGCCTGCTTTGGCTTAATTTCAAGACCATCGTCCCAAAATATTAGGGGGGTCTGCTATAGCATGAATGTCTTAGTCTTTTGGATTTAAGACCATCTTTTTTGGTTTCAGTTTTGAAAATAAAAACACATATACAATTAAAAACATGTTTTCTTTTTATATATTTATTTTAAGAAATAATATATTTTCAAACAAAATGATTTTGATTTATTTTTAAAACCAGAAACAAAAAAATAATTTACGTTATAAATTAAAACAGCTCCTCAGTCAATGCATGCATCTCTCTCTCTCTTGATGGCTCGTACAAAAACGCACTTGACTAGGC